AGCAGATTATTATTGTTTAAGTGTTGCTTTTTTCTCCCCCCAAGTTCAGGTACTGGGTTTATTGCATTTCCCTGCTGTGGTGAAAATATAACTCCTCAAAATGAATGAACAAATGCATATAACGAACATTTATTTACAAAATAACAGCCTTTTGTATTATTCTGAGCTGTCTCTCAATTTTCTCACCTTGTGTCCTTAGTCCCGGAGCACAAGTCTGGAAATCTGTCACGGTCCAAAGACTTTGCAAGTGTCCAGTCCCTTCAGCTGTTCTTTGATATCACATGGAGTAAATCAAATTGGTTGTTGGCTGGCATCTGTGATACTGAGGACTTCAGAAAGAGACTGAAATTAATCATCCATTTGGCACTTCTGGCTAAAGATGTTTGCAAATGCTTCAGCATTGTCTTTTGCACTAATGTGTTGGGCTCTCCCATTGTTGAGGATGGAAATGTTTATGGAGCCACCTCCTCCAGTGAGTTGTTTAATTATCCTCCACCATGCACGACTGAATGTGGCAGGACTGCAGAGCTTAGATCTGATCCACTGGTTTATGTCGGTCTTATTTGCTTCTGTTGTCTAACATATACCTGATGCTGCTCCTGGCATGCTGTTCTGCATTGTTCATTGAGTCTGAATTGATCTCCTGACTTGATGATAATGTTAGAGTGGGGAATATGCCAGACCATGAGGTTACAGATTGTAATTGAATACAGTTCTGCTGCAGTTGGTGGCCCACAGCACCTCGTGGATGCCCAGTCTTGAGTTGTTAGATCTTTTCTGAATATTATCCCATTTAACACAGTGATATTGCCACACAACACATTGAAAGTGTGCTGGTGGGGCTTTGTCTCCACAAGGACTGTGCAGTGGTCACTCCTACCAATACAGTGTTGGACAGATGCATCTGCTACAGATAGATTGGTGAGGGTGATGTTAAGCTGATTTTCCCTCCTGTTGGTTCCCTCACCACCTCCCAGAGGTGCAGTCTAGTTGTAATGTTCTTTAGGACTAAGCCAGCTCAGGAAGTAGTGGTGCTACTGAGCTATTCTTGGTGATGGACATTGAAGTTCCCCATCAAAGTACATTCTGTGCACTCAGTGTATCTTCCACATGGTGTTCAATTTAAAGAAACGTTCATTCACTAGCTAAGGGAGGATGGAATGTAGTAGTCAGTAGGACATGGCCTTCGGCAATTCAAGAAGGCAGCTCACCACCACCTCCTCAACAGCAATTAGAGATAAGCAGTTAGAGTGAATGCCGCATCTCATGAAAGAAGAGAAAAAATGGGCAAAATAATCATGGATTGGATTGCTCAATTTCTTGCCATTTACTTCCATTTAGAGCCCAGAAATGGAACACCTCCCTCTTAAATTATTAATGCTGTTTTTGTCTGCTCCTGCGAGGTGCCTTGACTGGAAGTGTTTTAACTACGTTTAAGGCATTGTATAAATGTAGCTTTGCCGTACTATCTCGCCAACAGCCAAAATAAGGTTGAGATGGTTTAAGTCAGAAGAATGAAAGAAACGTATGATACCTGAACAACAAATCCCAAATGGTGACCTCAACTGCTATTAGAAAGCACCCAGTATTAGTAATATTGGATATCAACTCTGATTAATTCTTCAGCAACAAAGAATATTGACAAATCCTTTTGAAGGAAGGAATGCCCAAGGATATATTTTGTCCTGGAGAGACCTACTCATTCTTTGGACCAAAACATTAATTTGACCCAGAACCAATCCTTGTCTTTGTCAAGTTGTCAGTCAGCCCTTGTTTTACTGGAGTGGGTTAGGTAACTTGAGCTGGGGTTACTCATTTTCCTATTTTGAAGCAAAAATGTTATTCACACCCTTTGAGATTTAATATTATGCATCTGTGAAAAGGTCTTTGTGCCAAATGTAATGGTGCTCCTTTATAATTCTGTACAGATCTAACTGCCTCAGACAGTGAAACTGATGAATGCGAGGACCCTGATGCTGCAGCAGTAAAAATCCTTTCAAAACTGGTCATGTCATCTCTCACACTGTCTGATGCTGAGGCTGATGGCCATGGTGCTCCCGATGGCAACAGCACCCACTCTCTAGAATCCTCAACAGTCTTCAAAACCCCTGCAAAGAAGGAAAAGAAGAAGCATTCTGTCCCGATGACACCTCTGACGCCATCGTCCTCTGCCACAAGTAAAGGTGAGTTATGACTTAGCAAATTTTGCCAAGATATAAATGCCAACTTTTTTTTGTTAAAAGGAGGCCTCTCTGAAACTATGATATTGCAACAGATTAGAGCAGAGGCTACAGAAATCAGCATTGATTTTGTAGCTACATTCCTTCTTTGGAGATTTCTCCCTCTGTATTGGGTTGCTTCTCTCTTGGTGCTGTGGACCATTCCACAGGTAAGAGAGCAGGGAGGTGACTGGCTTCTAAGCTTTAGTCATCAATGCTATGCGAGGTGTACGAGGTTGTCTTGAGCTAACTCTGCATCTAAGTTTTCCCTCCATTTCTGAGGAGGCACTGAGGCCCAATTGTCACACACCTTTCATCTGCCCTGGCTAAAATCAGCTAGTCCCATGTAGACCAGTGGCCTTTCTGGTCTGTGTAGCTCCATTTTGCAGTAGGCTGTGCATTTATTCAGAAGGCTACCAGGGGAGATGCCCTTGCCATGCTTTTTAAGCTATTTCCTCTCCCTGGCAAAACTATATATCTAGGGCTCCAAAATTCTGCAGCAAATCCAACCAAATTATGCAGCTTGAGAATGCAGCAGCAAGTCTGCCCACCGTTTGAGAGCATTGCAATTTATAGCATACGTATGTGAATAAAAACATTTAGAAAGTCTGGGATTTTAAAACCTGTTGAAAAGCAGTTTGCTGTGCTCAGACTCTGAAAGCCCATGTATTGCTTAATTGTTTACAGTTATAGCTGTCACTTTAAACCCAGCCAATCTCACCTGGCTAAACGGAATAGTAGGATGCCTACTGGCAGCTGGCTAAACCGATAGCTTTTTGACTGAAGTGGTAGCATTTACAACAATGTAATTTCCAATATGATGTGCAGAGCTCAGGCATATTCAAACTGTTATTTCCCATTCTTAAAGTTTGATGTAACAAGATTGAATAACATTCGTTTGTTTGAAGTGCTGGTGAGCTTAACGTGTATTGATAGACAGCTGCAGTTACTACCCAGCGTTACACTCAGCAACAAAAGCTCAAACCACACCACAACCCTGCCGCCACACGTTAACCAGCAAGGAACTACGTTGCTTCAATTTTAAATGGAAGGTTTAATCTTGAGGCTGTATTCATTGCATCCAAAAGTAAAATTGCTAAATGCTGCCACTTTAGACATTAAGAGCAGAAAGGATAAGAGACTGGGCTCAGAGCTGCTACAAAGCCAGCTGATTAGAAGCTGAAATTAATGGGGGTTAGATAATCCCCATGAATTTCACAATTTGCACACTTCACCTGCTTAGCAGGTGACCAATACCTGGTGTAACAAATCTAAATGGTGTCAACTGTGTGCCAGCTTGGCTTATTTGATAACTCAGTTGAGTACACTCTTGCATAAAAGTTGGAAGGTTGTGGCTTCAGGCTCCACTCCAACAACTTGAGCCCAAAATTTAAACTAACACTCCAAGTACAGCACTGAGAGAGTGCTGCATTGTCAGAGGTGTTGACTTTCAGATGAGATCTTAAAATAAGGCCCCTTGTGCCTGTTCTGGTGGTTATTAAAGATTCTAAGGCACTATTGGAAGAACAGCAGGGGAGTTCTCCTCAGTATCCTGGCCAATGTTCCTCCTTCAAATAATTACGCCAAAAAAAAATTAACTGCTCGTTTGTTTCACTGTTATTTGTGGGATCTTACTGTGCGCAAAATGGCTGCCGCATTTGACTACAAAGCAACAGTCACTGCACTTTAAGTAATTCATTACATGTGAAGCACCTTGAGTTTCTAAGAGACGTGATAAGGCGCAATTTAAATGCAAATCATTTCTTTGTCTTCCTGTCTCTCTCACTCTCCTTTTCTTTGCAATCCTCATTGATTTGCATGTTTTTAATCCCCATATTTTTCACACTTTGAACACTTCACCTGCTAGCTGGACTCTAGCTTCTGTAAAAGCAGCCGATTTAATGAGTTGAGATCACTGGGGCTACATAACTGTCCTGCATTTTGTACCTTGCCCACTTTGGCAGTAAATGAAGTGCAAGTGGTGAAATAGTGAAAATTATTGAGCTCCTCATCAATGGGAGTTTAGAATATCAAGGTTAATTGATACCATTTTGACTCGGAACACCAGGTATTGGTATTGCTGCGCCAGGCATTGATTCCAATATAGTTGCAACTAGAGGAAAGGAAACAAGTGGTCGGAGAGAAATTCTGGGGCATTTTCTGCAGCCATGAAATCACAGAGCTCTTTAGCTGGGATATAACCAGGGCCCTAAGAAGCATTGCAGGCAAAGTAATGCAAAATCTCTATCCTTGTTACTCTCAAGATAATTGTTAGCAAGTTGTTAGGGGGATGGGGCAATAATTTGCAGCACTCTGACTTTCCCTAAAGTTGCCAACTCTAGCTCGACATATTCCTCGAAGCTTTGCCACAGCTTGGTCTGGATGCTGTTGCCCCACCCTGCACCCCCACCATTGGCTACCTAACATGTCCATCTTCACTTTGCTACATCAATTGGAAAGCAACTATACTCTTCATTAGCTAACTGCATGATTCTTCATTAACCAAACAGCATTTTCACTATGTTTAATATTTTTATAACTAGTAAACAAATGTATCTGAAGAATCTTTTCACAAAAGAAGACAACTTTTCAATGGCCTGATGACTGTTCTCCCGGTTCTCTCCAATGCTCGCGGTATTGTCCTGGAGACTAGTCTTTAATTCCTGGAGAGTCCAGAGCAACCTTGGAAGAATTGACAACCCTAATTGTTGATTGAAGCTGACCTTTTCTTACCTGATGAAATTCTGGGTGGCAACACCGCTCCAATATTTCTGCACCACATGGTGATTGGGTGAAGCCATTTGCACCTGGTATACTTTCTGTGTTGAATCCCTTCGTCTCATTGTAGTGCAGAGGGGAGCTTCCCTGCATGGTGGAACAATTAGAAGAAGAGTCATTCTGAGCAACTGTGAAACCTCCCTCAGTGAACATCTTGCCTCTTGTAATAAAGAGTCATATATGGCACAACAGCAGCCGAGAGGAAGGGGAGAAACCTCCTTAAAAGGAGTGACCAGCACTTCCCAAAGATCCAGGCAAATCCTGATGCCTACAAATACACCATACGGCATTTACTAGAATTGTGCCACTCATTCATAAGATATTTTATGATTTTTAATAGCTAGGTTTACCCTTAAGACTCTGGTCACTAGTGTATGTGAGAAGTGAAGGGGGTAATTTATGTAATTAATTTATTCATTGAGGAAGTAACATAAATAGATTATTTTAAGGAAACCAGAGTCAGAAAAATTACAATTCCGCTAAATGTTTCAAGCTTAATTTTCTCATGTAATTGAGGTAGTTAAGAGCATGAAATGAGAGATTTTACCCAGCTACAGTGAAATTGCTTTTTGTGATATTGAACGTGGCGTGTGAAGTCCCCTTGAACAAAGACACTAACCAGTTCATTTGGTGCAACCTTCTTTGTAGAAATAGTCAAACGAATTTCATGTGAAAGTGTCAACAGGATTGTGTGCCAATATCTCAATGTAATTTTACCCCAAAGAATGTTGCAAGTTAAATGGTTTCCAAGTATTGTGATCACTGTTCATTCTCATCAATATTCTGTACACAATTGACCGGGTCTAAGCAAGGACATGGGGCACTGCTGAGAGTAGATAGAATGGGAACTTTCTCTTCAGCCAGGTATTATAAGTAGGCTTTGGGTCTACATGTAACTAAGATACACTTAGAGTATGGCTGACCTGTTACCACTGGCCCAAATAGTGCAGTCTCTGGATACTCCAAAAATAAACGTACCCCGAAGGATGAATGGGACATTAAACTTTGGATAGGCAATTAGACAGCATCTGGGACTCTCAAAAAGGTCTCTGTACTCTTAAGTTAGAGCCAGAAACTTTGGAGGGTTCCAACTTACTTACCTTAATAGTTAATGAGGTAATGTTAGATTAACTAAAACCTGCTCTAACTACTGGCTAACTACATTATTGACCCTCTCACCCCTGACTGTCCTGCCACCCTGCCCCTCATCTATTTCCCTGCCATCTTATCCCCTCATCCACTGCTTTACCACCCTATCCCAGCAACCATCCATCTTGCCCTGATCCACTTGCCACTGTACTCATCACCAACCAGCTGCCATCCTAACCCATCCCCACATCCACATTGACTCCCTTATCCATCTGTCTCACTACCTCAACCATCAATCTCACACCTTACCCCCGCCACCCCCAGCACTTATCTGCCACATAATCATCTCATATTTTAATGTAATTATTTTAACATAAAAACATTAATTCCTTTTGATAGGTGACCTTTGTGTCTTTGTTTTGTGTGCAACATTAGAAATGGGCAATCTGAATGGCATACCAGATAAAAATATTTTTACTCTGCCTCTCTATTGCACCAATGTACCAGACTGCAATTGGTGGCAGATTTCATCCTAGTGTCAATTGTTCTGCTGTGAGAGAGTCACACAGGACTGCTTTTACACGTCTCTGAATGGCCAACTACAGAGTAATGGGATATGCATCCGACGCATGCATGCCTGGTTGCTGGAGGTCAGTATTTAGTGTATCTAATGTATTTACTGAGGGAATTAATGGTAAAGTACCAAAGGCTAAGACAGAAAACAGATTGCATACTATGTAGATGCTAACTGGGGAAGAAGGAGGGAATTTACAAATAATTAACCTTTCAGAATTTTTGGCACCTTCTTGTAATGTGACATTAGTGAGTGTGGTGCATGTTGGAGCGATGCATAAATAGCTAGGCTCTGGCAGGGTGGGTCATAAACACCACGTGCTAGCAGTAGGGAGGCTTGTATGTGGAAGTAAAATGTCCTCTTGCTTTTCTTCCCCACAGGCGAATGCATACGTAGAAGAGTAACTGATGAACGCGAATTGCGCATTCCACTGCAATACGGGTAATTTTCTCTGATGTTTATTAAGGCTATCAAATACAGGAGCCAGTAACACATTTGCTAAAAGTCCAGAGAGCCTCAGTTAAGAGCAACTCGCATAAGAGTCATTCCTTGGTTAACAGCAAATCTGATCACTGCGTGGACCGCTATCTCAAACTAGTGTTGGTTTCAGGACCAACTGGAGTCCCCAACTGTAAATGTCATGGTCTCTTTCTCAGTTTTGTAACTCTTTCAACTCGATGCATATATGTTCAATATCTTTGGTGGCTCTCTCTCTGTATCTAATCTGTCTATCTTGTGTATTTCTTTTTTGTTACGGGGAAGTCTTGACTGCTATTCTAAAAGTTTGATTAAACCACAGGAAATTCTTAGGCTTGATTATCTGAGACATTGATTCAACTATCCTCTTTCCCTGACTGCATAATTCTTGGCTCGCTGTTGCTACTCAAATCTCCAAAGGTCCTTTGAGGTATCTCTGGTCAAATGCAATAAGCTTTTGTTCCTGCACTAGAGCGATCACTGCATTGCAGGTCTGCAATTAGATTAGTAACAGTCAGTTCTTGTACCCGGACCTTTCTTAACATTCAAAAATGCCTCTTCTGCATTGTGTTACTTACATTCAGTTTCTCTTATTCGGGGGAGCAATTAACTTCAGGTAACCACTGCTCCCCGAGCTTCTGGGCTTTCTTCCAGTGTTTTGTGAACACTACCTGCAGTTTTTCATCTGCTTGTGTTCTGCATAAGAACTGTTGTGCATTTTAAAATAATACGTTGTGTGAAGCACTTTGAGCTGTTGCAATTTGATAAGGCGCTATATAAATGCAAGCATTATTATCCAATGTACTAAACTTCCTTTCTGCGCTAATGTTATACCATTGGGTAAAAATTGCATGAAATTCCTGTCTGCACTACTTTTATGACATGTGTTTAAAATTAACACATTAACTCTGTGGAATTTCTCCCCCATGATATTAATTGCAAATCCAAAGGGTACAGTTACAATCAAGAAGCCAGTTTCTTTACCAAACTAATGCCATGGTAACCAATTGAAGAGAATATTACACAGTATTGGTGATCCCACAGTCCTTTGTCTTCCTTTATTCTCTATGTAAAACCGCTGATCCTGATCCTGCTCCTGCTTCTTTGCACCCCTAGGTTTGGAAACTTTACTCCTGGCGTTTATTTCCTCTTTTTCTCTTGCTTTTCCATCAGTGCCGATGCATACTGAGATATGGTTTCTCATGGGCACCACCATTCCCCTGGTATCTCGCACAAATGACTATTCTTCATGCCTGGCTCTCAACACTGTGTGAAGAGGGTGACTATACCAAGTGGCCCTTCTCACACAAAGCACACTCACCTATACTTACCAGCAGAGCTCACTGGACAGTACTTGAGCAGGAGTTGATGTTTTTTGACTCGTGTATGGATGCTGAGACTGATTGTAGCTTCCCTACTACATCCTAAGTTAAGTTCAGGTAATACAGCGCAAATGAGGTATTGAACTTGGGACAACACTCATCCAGACTAGAGAGCTAATTTCATTTATGGTCATTGGTAACGGGCAACACAGTGATCATCAGAATCACAACTTCCATTGTTGCCTTCTGCCCATGTTACTGATGATAATAAATAGTCTAGCTACTTCTTCTTTGACTCTCAAGCAAAAGATTGTGCGTACATAACACTCGTGATTGAAGCCTGATTCTCAACTGTTCATATTCATTGTATCTTTGATTCTGTTTGGTCTAAAATGTCCCGGATTTTATTTACTAGATGACAGAATTCTGCCTTGTGGATCCTGTGGTTCCATTGCTTTTCTGAATGTCGGGACGATAATCCCCTGTTTCAGTCCACAGGTCGACCTTGTTTTGTTGGACTGTAACTTCTCCACCTCCCTTTAGCATTCCAGATGAGATGCTACTAGTGCTACTACTGGGCATGGCTGTCCTTCTGGTGCTGGTGTTGCTGCCCTGGTTCACCTTGCACACCACAGACTGATGTCTATGAAAGGCGCCACACCTTTTTCTCTGCAGTTCCATTACATGCAAGTTAATTCCAAAATAAAACAATCCCTTTTAAAAAAGTTGTTTCTCTGCTTGTATTTCTCTACCACGCTGATTATCAATTGGTCAATCAGTGAAGCATTCCGTTATTTAGCTCTGCCAGGCCAAGTGTGCCTTTGACTTCAGACCTTTACTGATCAACTGCTTTTAGCAATAGAGATCACCTGTAGCACTGGTTCAGAATGAGCCTACTCTGGCTGCCTCACTGGTGCAATAAGTAATTGCAGTGCTCAGTCTGGTGTGGAGGCAAGTTATGATACAACTGCCGTTCTCTTAACTGAGGGCAGCTAACTCAGTACAAATCAGGACTCACCTCTGAGACCTTCCTGGTCTATGTGCTTCAATATCTCACAGTGCACCATTTTTACCAGTTGTGACGATGGTGGGTGGGTGATCATCTGGTATGTTTTCATAGAATAAGGCTACCTCCAGTGGAAGGAGGATATAGATTTTTGCTGAGGCATTTCTGATTTGCATGCTTTATACAGTTTCTGGAATTGATTTCCAAAATCCATTGCTGTTTGGCAGTCAAAGATGGCATTCCTCCTGCTGCTCCTGTGTACCAAGCTCAGTAATCCTTCCTGGCAGCAGTTCCAATCAAATTGTTTTCGTAGCTGCCTCAGGGTATTCCTCTCTTTCCAGCATCTTCCAGCACTTTTGGATGATGTTACTCCAAAGGCAGTGAGTGACCCTATCACCAAATGCCTAAAGAAATCATCTGAGGCAAAGCTCAGAAATTAAAAGATTTTAGAGTGGGAAAATCTTTCTCTTTTAAATTGCAATTAATCTGCACTGAAAAACTGCTTCTTGGTCATGCTGCTACTACTGGGCACGCCTGTCGTCCTAGTGCTACTACTGGGCATGGTAGTCCTTCTGGTGCTAGTGTTGCTGCCCTGGTTAAGGGCACCCCCAATTGCTTGGCAACCCCCAAATATTAAACATCAGACTGATCCTGGACTCTATTTGTCTTTCTCAAGCCTCGGACTTTATAGCCCTAGGCACCTTATTCTTACGGTTTGTATAAACTCTTCACTTTGAACTTTGGTAACCTTGGCATTTGCAGTTGTTCCCAATCAGTCTCTAAGCTTGCCCCAGCCTCCCACCAGGCCTTGGACCTCCCACTTCCCAACAGGCATAACTCAATTCCTATTTGACTTGCAGCATCATTCCTTTCTGTCACGATCCCTTGAACCTGAACTCTGATTGTTGATAATTTTGTAACCATTATTGCCAGTGTCTCTTGGCCCACACATTATACATGCTGCCTTTGAACAGAACAGCTTCCCTCTACCTGAAGCTGAGTATCCCTCACCACACCTATACTGACACATACCCTAGTCACCACCCAATGGCTGTGTTGCTATCTCATGGTACTTTATTAATCTCTCAAACTTTTTTGCCAACTTCCTCCTTCCTCTTTGCACTTCTGAATCACCCTCTAGTCTCAATGTTTTGTCTCTTTCTCTCATCACTCAACTACCCACTTACCGAACCTCCGGCCTTCCTCTCAGTATCAACCTTCAGAAGTTCCTGCTTCTTGTGAATAATATCCTCCCAATTCACTACCCACCCACTCCTTCCTGTGGAAATGCGTACCCATACTAAGCTTGACTGAAACCTGACTCATAAATGCAACTTCCTTCTCCACTGCTGTCCACTCTCCTTCCCTGTTTCATGTTCCACCAAATCAGCAATAGTTGAAGTGTTGTACTTATTCTCCCTTTTTCCTATTTCCTTCATATGTACAAACACTTCAGTCTGTCCACCTTTCCATCATGGTTCTTCTTGTCTGCTATATGCCTCAGCAATCTCCAAGAGCTTTCCCAACTCTGATTTCGCTCCCCCCACACCCTTATCTGCCATCAGCCTTTACACTGAATAACTCCTTATTCTCAACAATTTTAGACTCACCTGAACCCATCGTTCCTCACTTCATCTGCTGCTTGCTTTCCTCATCTCTAAATCTAAGTGTCCTCGTTTGACAGCTACAACACACTGATTCTATCAGCATGTATCCTTGAGACATTTAGGAGGTCTGTCACCCACACTGTTCACCCCAATCATTTCCTCATCTCTTTTATATTAAGTAAACCTCTGCATGTTCCAAAATCTTTCAACTGTCACCTCACAAAAAGAACTCTCCTGTATATATCACTCTAACCTCTGTCATTATCATCCACATTATTATCACTATAACATTCAATGTCTGCCTCCCTTTTATATACCTCAGACTTTATTAAATTCATCTTGTTCATGAAGTTCTTTATCTACCTCAATCCTCTCTCCTCCTTCAATCTCATACTCATTAACATCATGAACCTACCTTTGCCCTATTGTCACTGCATCAAAGCTGCCGTGCCTCTCCCATGCTTTCTCTCCTGCCTTTGATACTGTTCTCCCATCTCAAATTCTCCAGCCCTAAGGCACTTTCATACCACCTGAACAACATTAAGTTCTGCATAAGCTGAATTGCTTCAACGTTTTTCTCTTCTGTGACCATGGGTATAACCTTCATAAACGATAAGAATTTGTAGCCTGTATCCTTCTGCACAAAGTGCTGGAGTCCCTTAATTCCTGCCTTTGCTAAGTCACACTGACTGTCTAATCTAGGGTCTTTTGACTTTAAGATGCTCATTCTTTTCATGCGTTCAGTTCTCCCGTGACCTTACCCCAACCTACCTCAGTAATCTACTCTATCCATTTGTCTCCACAAGCTCCACACCACCCTAGCCAGGAACTATATTGCCATTCCTTCACTGTCACCAGGTCAAAATCCTGGAACACCCTCCCTGACATCTCACCACCACCTTCTTAAGAGCAATTAGGGATGGGTAACAAATGCTGGCTTTGTCAGCAATGTCCACACCCCATAAATTAATTTTTATACCCACTGTTACTCCAGTTTTCTGCTCACTTTTTGCTTTACTGATAGTGTTTCAAAGAGCAATCTCCTCATCTCCTGTAATAACATACCCTGTCACCTCCCTTTCTTATTTTCAAATGCCTCCTGAAAAGAATTTCCCTTCAATTAACATGATTCTATCCAATGTGCAGCATTTTTTTCCCTGCACAATGAAATGCTCAGAGTGCTAGTTCTTCACAGATGGGGTGCTATGGCAATGTAAATGGTTGCC